AGGATCCACTCTGCTCAAGCCCGCCGGCATACGCGACTACCAGAGGAAGCTAGGATGCCTCCTCTTCGCAGCTGTTACCTGCCGTCCTGACCTCTCATACTCCGCAAGCCAGCTCGCCACCTACCTCAAGAAGCCCAAAGCAGAGCATCTAGCGGAGCTCGACCGCGCTCTTCACTACCTCGTCAGCACCCCGACGATCGGCCTAACTTACTACAAGAACACTACTTCACCGACTAAGTTAATCGGCTACGTCGACGCCGATCACGCTGGCGACTCCGATAACGGGCGCTCGCGCACCGGCTACATCTACCGCCTCGAACCTATCGGTCCTATCTCCTGGCAGTCGAGCAAGCAGGAGTTAATCGCACTCTCATCAGCTGAAGCAGAATACATCGCACTCTGCTCAGCCACCAAGGAAGGACTTTATCTTCGCGAGCTGCTGGAAGAAGCGAAGTTAGCCGAGTTACCTAACTTCACCCTGTTCTGCGACAACCAGTCGGCAATTCGCATCGCCAACAAGAACGGCTTTGCGAACAGGACGAAACACATCGCCCTGCGCTACTTCTTCGTGAAGGACGAGATCGAGAAGGGGAGACTCGAGCTGTCATACTGCCCCACGTCCGAGATGGCAGCTGACTATTTGACCAAGAAACTCGGAAAGCAGAAATTCGAATACTGCATGCTGCTGACTGGACAGAGCCACGTCATCAGCAACGACACTCCAGAAGCGAAGGGGAGTGTTGGAAACAACAAGTCGTAAGCGCCTCTGTCGTGTCGAAACACTGCACCAGAAGCGTAGTGAACCATATCGAAGCACCCGCGAGTCAACCCTCGGAGGTTGAGAGGTTGCTGGAGGTTACGCGAAAGTCAAAGGTCAGCGACCTTTGACCTGACAAGTACAGCGCGACAGCAAGGACACACAACTGACTCGTTACAGAGCAGTTGCCCGAGTCGTCACTGTATCGAACCGCAACAGCAACAGTAAAAGTAGTATAACTGTATCCTTTCGTATTCCTTGTACTATTATATAATCTTGTATCTCTTTGCTTTAATCAATCTACTTTGCCCTCACATACAAGCGCAAGGTGGTTCAATCTCTTCATTAAAGCTTCCGCTACTACAACATTCTTCTACCCAGAGTTCACCCTTGCAAAGATCCTAAGGGCTACTTCTCAGCCCAACAAAAATAACGACACCCGCCACTGTCCTCCTCGTGCTTCCAAGGTTTCGTCACAAACCCCTTTGCGTGTATGAACGGAACAAGCTTCACCAGCAACTGCACTCAACCAACAGCTGCAGAGTCAGAATACTTACTGTTGAGATTGTTGACCGCTACGATACGACCATGCACTCTCAAACACGCGATTATGTGAGCGTATCCATAACTCACTACGGTAGTCTAGTATCCATGAAGTGCAGAAAATGTAGCGCCATCGTCCGGGTTTGCCATGGTACTACCGGTAGATCTGGAGGGTGACAGTGACTTCCCGAAGCCGCATATTGCACAAATATTTCAAGTATGTATTGTATGTTCTGATCGATGCATATAAATATATCTAACTGTAGAACACAATGGCTTAGCATGGTAAAGCTTTTTCATGTTAGATACTTACTACTGCATGTTCTAGATTATAAATGTATCATCTCTCTATTGATATGTTATAGTCAGTCGCAGAGCATGCTAAATGTGGCAGGCAAAGAACTGTTAGCGCATAAGGCGGGTCTCGTGATTCCCCAGATTCGTGCAAATCGCGGTTCGTGCGAGCTTCATTCCCATTGCTGGCCAGGTACATATTCATGGTTCGAAAAGGTTTTGTAGGGTTCATAAGAGAATGTTCCTGGGGTATTCGGATATTGATGGGAACGCTAGGGGCGTTTCCTGGCATCAATTTGGGACGACGTTATCGTGTTCTATTTACCACCGGTAGAGTGGATTTCGACTCTGTCCAGACAATCGCGCCTCTCAATATATTTTCCCCAACACGCCCCCCTCCGCGCCCGTTCCCCCACACTTGCTCTAAACAGTTCCAACCTCGAAGTACCAAGTGACGTGCCCCAGTACTTTCTCGCTGTACAGAACTTGGCCCCCAAACCACATCATTATGGGCAAAAATTTGCCCAGCAGCAGCAATGTGAACCGCCCTGGCAAAGGGGCTGCAAGGCAAGATGCTTTGCTACCCCACGAGAACGAATATTCCATTCCGTGCTTCACAGATGCGGCCACGTCAACATGTAACCAGGCCACTAGATTTGAGTGATGACACGCCGAGAAATTCGTCCGTCCGTTGGATGAATCGATTTGTGCATCTGAACATACACTAGCAACTTTTTCGAATCAGGAATCTGGCTCACTTCAAATCTCACAAATGGTGGCATATTCCAATCCAGGTGGCATATTCAGTGGCGTTCGTCTCCACAAATCGTATCATCTTGAACAGTACTGGGAACCAACAGCGCATAACAGAAGCGCTCCACAGCAAAAGGCACGCGACGCAAAAGACACAGATGGCAGGTTTCGGCTGGATTCCAGGCTCCCCTCCCTGCTCGCTTCACACCCACCAAAGTGTTGCCTACAGTATCACCATAGACGCTGTAACCTGTCCAGGTGCAGAAATTAACTTCGTTAGGACGCAGAGAACCTCTCTGAAATGGAAACTGAGTCCTTGGCAATAGCGTCACCCAAGTAAAGGAAACGACGCTGGGGTTTTAGCTGCCAGCATACGAATTTGGTGGCGTGAGTCACCAGAACAATTCTTAATGCTAGTATAAAGGACAAAGGCAGAATCCTTGTGGTTCACAATGGACGCAGCATGCGAATTTCGCAAACGAGCCGTTGAAAAATGTGGGGCAGAGAAAATGCTTCGTTTAGAAAAGCTTCTGGAGGAACGGAAGAAAGTTGAAGCGTTTAAGAGAGAGCTGCCACTAGCATTGGCTTTGTTAAACGAAGGTAAATCTCTCTCTCTCCCCTCATCTCTCTCTCTCTCTCTCTCTCTCTCTCTCTCTCTCTCTCTCTCTCTCTCTCTCTCTCTCTCTCTCTCTCTCTCTCTCTCTCTCTCTCTCTCTCTCTCTCTCTCTCTCTCTCTCTCTCTCTCTCTCTCTCTCTCTCTCTCTCTGTGTGTGTGTGTGTGTGTGTGTGTGTGTGTGTGTGTGTGTGTGTGTGTGTGTGTGTGTGTGTGTGTGTGTGTGTGTGTGTGTGTGTACGCGCGCGCGCGCGCGTGCCGTTTTGCATGCTTGCCTCTCTTGCCCTGAACAACATCATTCGCATTAAAACCCCCCGATTTCCATTTCACAACATCAGAAGGGAGTATCGAATACCCCAATTACGCTTAATTTGAGATTCACCATCCTGTACCCCACGCCTGCAGCCATATCTGAAGCACGGAGGAGCATCAGCCAGAGCAGCAGTCCCACAGGCACAGCGGCCCGGGGCAGCACGGATCCGAAACGTGCTGCGTCTGCAGATAGAGGCGATTCGTGCAAGCAAATCCCATGCAAAGACGGGTTGAGTTTGCCCGCGGGTGGAGGTTTTGGAGAAGTTGAGAGTAACTGCGAGGATGGGGTGGGAAGGAGGGTGAGGACAGAGGCGGTGGAATCGGAAGGAGAGGAGGAGAAAGACAATGAGGGAGAGAGGATAAGGGTGAGAGAGGGAGGTGAGGAGGTTGGAGGAGAAGAGAACGGAGATGGATATGGGGAGGAATTGGGAGGGCTTTTTGCAGCAAGGCAGAGAGACAGAAACGCTGTGGTTGCATTTGGGGATCGTGTTAGAGAAAGTAAGGAAACTGATGGGAGTGAGGAAGATGAAGGGAGCGAAAAGAATAATGGGAGTGAGGGGAATGGAGTGGGTGGCCAGGTGGGGAGTAGGGGGGTTGTAGGAAGGCGAAGGAGACTGGCAGCGAGTGATGCTGAGAGCAGTGGAAGAAAGCGATGCAAGCAGGATGAGGCAGGTGGCGAAGAGGCGATAGGCCAAAAGCAGGTTTCAGGCACAGAGCATGCAGGAGGCAGAGAGCAGGAAATTGCGCCATTGGACTTGGAAGCTTCGCCGGTTTTGGGATCCAGTGGAAGGGAGGGGCGCGGGGAGTGCGATGGGAGGGGGGTTGAGCGAGACTGGCTGGTGGAGCGGCGAGGTGATGAGGGCGCGTGTGAGGTGAGCAGGCAGCAGGGGAATCAGCCGATGGGATTGGCTGGAGGTTCTTTGGACGAAGAGGGTCGGGTGCGAGCAAGTGAGGAAGATCGGAGGCGGTTGCTCGCTGCAGCTGGCCTCTCGCTTTGCCTTGGGGATTCCACCGCATCAATACGGGCAGGAGACTGCTCCGAAGTTGAAATCGGGAGGTGCGGTGGTGGTGGTGGTGGTGGTGGTGGTGGTGATGTTGCTGGTGCTGGTGCTGTAGAAGCGCCGGCAGCATCGATACATGCCGGCAAATGTTCTGGAGGAGAAACTATGGGGTGTTCCGGTGAAGCTGCGGCTGCTGCTGCTGCTGGCGTTGTTGTTGCTGCCGGTGGTGGTGGTGCGGCAGGTGTTTCAGGTTCTGGTGTTGGTCCTGGTACTGACGTTTGTGGTGCTGCTGGTGGTGTCAGTGGTAGGGCTTTTAGTGGGAGTGGTGCTGATGATTCTGGTGTAGAAAGATCAGGGGATGTGGGCACTGGGTCTGGTTTAGGGTGGAAACTTAGGAAGGGAAACCAGGTGCAGGTATCAACCAGTAATGATCGTACTGACCGTGTGAGCATTGAAGGAGACCTCTCACAGCGGAGCAAGAGAAGGGAGACATCCCAAGGGAAAGAGGTTAGACATTCTGCGGGAGACAGACCTGCTTCTACCAGAGGCAGGCTGGCAGGGGAAGGTACATCCAGGGGAAGTGCGTCTGTTGCAATCAGCCACGGGAAAGAAAGGAAGGCACATGCATCATCAGAATACCGAAGCTTGAGCGACAGCGGAAGAGTAGCAGAGGCAGGTACACGAGGGGCAGGCCCAAGTGAGGCAGGGAACTCCGGTGGGCAAAGCCATGGGAGGAAGAGGGCCGAGCACGTGCCGGCTGCAGAGAGCCAATGTGTGAGAGGCGTAGGGAGTGGTGGAGGAGGGGAGCTTGGAGACGGCAGGAGGAAGAGTGGAGTAAGCAGTGGAAGGAGTGAGGAGCAGCAGCAGAGTGGCCAGGGCGTTAGCTGTGAATCTGGAAGGGAGAGAGGGGGTGTAGAAAAGAGAGGAAGCAGAAGGGACAGGGGGAGTGGAGAGGAGAGAGGGGGAGGAGGGGAAAGAGGGAGCAGAGAGGAGAAGGGGAGTGGAGAGGATAAGGGAAGCGGAGGGGAGAAGGAGAGTGGAGGAGGGGCGAGGGGTGCGGGGGCAGCACGGAAGCACAGGAGGTGCTGGTCGCCCGACATTCATCAGCGCTTTGTCGAAGCACTGGAGTCTCTGGGCGGCTGTCATGGTGCGTGCGATGATGTATAGACATGTGTGCGTCTGTGCGTGCGATGATGGGGCAAGGGATGGAGGGGGAGCAGGGGGGCCTCGGAAGCACAGGAGGTGCTGGTCGCCCGACATCCATCAGCGCTTCGTCGAAGCACTGGAGTCGCTGGGCGGATGCCATGGTGTGTTGCAAGCGAGCATGTGTGCAAGCGTTTATGGGTGCACTGTGCATGTGTGCATTTGTGCATGAGTGGATGTGTGCGTGCGACGCCCAGCCCCCATCGCCCCCACCTCCTGTTTTCCTCCTGGTTTGAATGTGCCTTTGTGACCCCAATCCCAGTTTCTCCCATCCCTTCTTTCCCATGAACCCTCCATCACCTCCTCTTTCTTCGCCTCAGTGGCCACACCGAAGCAGATCAACGCACTGATGAAGGTGGATGGGCTCACCAACGACGAGATCAAGAGCCACCTGCAGGTGAGGCACTAACGCTGGTGCACGCACACTGGCTGACTTGTGGATGATGGCATGTGGATGGTGGCTTTTGGATGGTGCCACTTGGAGCTTGTGGTTGCTGATGAAGGTGGACGGGCTCACCAACGACGAGATCAAGAGCCACCTGCAGGTGAGCTTGCTAACTTGCTAGCTGACTAGCTGACTGACTCGGGCATGGCATGAGTAGCGCCTAGCTGATCACAGATACTGCAACGCACTGATGAAGGTGGACGGGCTAACCAACGACGAGATCAAGAGCCACCTGCAGGTGAGGAACTAACGCTGATGCACGCACACTGGCTGACTCGTGGATGGCATGTGGATGGTGGCATGTGGATGGTGGCATGTGGATGGTGCATGTGGATGGTGGCATGTGGATGGTGGCGTGTGGATGGTGGCGTTCGAACAGTTTCTGTGTATTCACATGAGTGAACAAGGATAGGTAGCATCTGTGTTTACTGCACACGTTCTTACCCATTCTCGTCTCATCTTCCTCCCTGTCCGTTCCTCCTCTTGCAGAAATACCGCCTGCAGTCCCGTCGCCCCCCCTCAGACCCCCCTTGGCCCTCCACCCCCCACTGTGCCTCCCCCTCAATCTGCTCCTCCCCCTTCTCCGCCGCTGCTGCTAGCACCCTCCCCCTCGCTTCCCTTCCCCCATCTACCTCATCCTCTCACTACATCAGTCACCCCCAACCTTTCCACCTAACAGCACCAAATGCACCTCCAGCTTCTGCAGCAGCTCTGGCATCAGCGGCAGCATCAGCGGCGGCATCAGCCGCTGCTACTGGCCCTTCGGCTCAACTGCTTGTGCTGGGTGGCATTCTGGTGCCGTCGTTGCAATCAGGAGCTGCACAGGTGGCGGCGTTTCCAGCCGATGGAGTTGCAGTGCAAGGAATATCCTCGATATTAGCGTCCTCCTCTGGAGTTGTTGGTGCACTGAGCAATGCTGGGCAGCAACAGCCTAACACGCAGCATGGGATAGTGCTGCAGACACAGCAATACCAGGCGCAGCAGCTTCATCAACAACAATCACAGCAGCACCAACACCAACACCAACACCAGCAGCAACAGCAGCCCCAGCACCAACACCAACACCACATAGCAGCAGCAGCAACAGCAACAGCAACAGCAGCCAGTGCTGCAGTGGCATGGTAACCAACAGGTGATGCTGGTTCCTGTTCAGCAGCACCAGCAGCACTTCAGCCAGGAGCACACTCAGCAGCTACAGGTACTACCACAAATGCAGCAGCAGCAACAGCAGCAGCAGCAGCAGCAGCAAATGCCAATACACTCACACCCATACCTTCCCTTGCCTTATTTAGAGAAGCCCCAGCTTAAGCAGGTGAGCCAGCAGCCGCAGGTGCAGCAGCATTATGTGACCTCACAACCAGCAGACCCAGCAGACAGGCAGCTAAATCCAAGCCAGTGGGCCTTGCGCCCCCAACCTAAAAACTCTCACGCCTTCCTTCCGCTGCACCACCCCTCTAACCCCTCTGCTCATCCATCCCTCCCTTCTACTCCCTCCTCTGCCCCGAGCACTCCTCACTCTTTCATCCCTTCTCCTCATGGGGCCTTTGTGAGACCCGTTGCCCGCACTGCTCTACCTCCTGTACGCACTGACGAAAGAGGGGTGGGGCAGAAGGGATAGATCAGTTCGTTTGATTCTTGGCACCACCACCACCGCTGCCGACGCCACTGCCTCCTCCTCCTCTTCCTCCTCCTCCTCCTCCTCCTCATCCTCCTCCTCCTCCTCCTCCTCCTCCTCCTCCTCCTCCTCCTCCTCCTCCTCCTCCTCCTCCTCCTCAACATCCTCCCCCTCCTGTCATGATGCTCCTCATCTCCACGTTGCCATAAAATGGTGTATTAAAGAAGACATTTTCCTCCATGCACTCAATGTTGTAATCCACATTTCTCAACATCATCCCTTCATACAACACCTTGGACGCACATTACAGAAAAAACAATCATTTACACAAGTGCTTGCGAGTGTCTTCCTGTATACAAGCACCTTTGAGCTAGGGCCTTAGTACTTACCGTATGCGCCCGGATATAAGACAACGTTGAATAGAAGACAGTGGGTGTCTATTATCCAGGTGTCTCTTATAAATGGGTCAGCCTCATTATAAGACACCTATTTGTGTTTACGAGATAAGACACATGTGTCTTAATTGAAACTGCAGTACATTTTTACCCCTGCGAAACGCGAATTTTGCTACGTGCTGACTCAGGTTCTACCAAATTTGCCTCTGCAAGTATTCTCCGTGACGTGGCGTCCCGAACAAGGGTTGCCGAAGTGGCACCTTCGCAACATCCACACTCATTATGAGAAACTCTTTTCAAGATGGTGAAAATATTTATGAGTACTGGTATTTTAAAAAGTTCCCATTTATAAGACTTATAAGACGCCTAGAACCTCCCCAAATACAAAATAACCCAAGCATTTTTTTCTAATATATAGACATATATGTCTTATATTAGGGCAATGACGGTACTTTGGGTCCCTGAATGCTCAAGACACAACATAACTTTAACATGAGCCTTCAGAAGTGTTTTTTCCCCTAAGTCAGTCGTTGGTTTTCTAACACTGGTTGTGCAAATTAATTTTGTAGACTTATGACTAGTACTAAGCAGCCATCACATTAGTAACAACCAACATTCTAAAACAATATGGTTAGGTCAAATTCCTGGCTCGTGTCAAGTGTAGACGTTGAAACGCATGCGATTGGCCCGCTGAGCTTTTTTGGGCCAATCGCGTGGATTCCAAAACTAGAACCAGTGCTATCGCTACTCCCCTGGTCAAAGAATTTTAGCACCTTCTCCTTGTCTTTGCCTAGAGGATGCACTGCTGGACTTTGTTCTTGTGAGTGGGACAGCGCTTCTTACCACAGCGCCACAGCTACACGACCGTATCCCACTCCATTACATAGTCAGGCGCATGAGGTCGCCCAACCCCTGTTGCAGAGGTTCGCCCTCTGCCAGCTCTTAATCCTTGTTCACACTTGACTATACTGAGGGGCAGGACCAAGAATGCTACTGATAGCTTAACTAGGTTTGGGTAGCTCCTCTCCCAGTCGCTCGTCTTGAGAATGACATCTACTTTACCTAGAAGCTTTGATCTTCTTGTAGAGCTACTTCAAGCACCGCAGCACTGTCCTGAGCTCGTTCTTTGCCAGTCGCTCAGCATCAGTAAGACAACATACGCAAGAAAATCCCTTTGTCATTGTTAGATTACAGTAGTGATCACAACGGAAAACTAAGATGATCGGGTGCACGGGAGATGTAGCCGACTGTCTGCAGTGGCCAAAGCCGGTTTGGGCAAGCAAGTCGACGTGCACGGGACAACTGCGATGACGTCGACGACGAGAACTCGACGAACAACTTCGACTAGAGTGGTCGACAAAGAGTTCGTGGACCTGTGGGGTAGCCGGCTCAGGTGAGGCCTGCTTCTGCGACGACGTTTCGTGGGATTAGCGACGACTTTGTGGTCGCCAAGCTGGCTTGGTTAGCCGTTATGGAGGATCAAGTCGTCATGGTTAGCATACTTTGATGGTTGGTGGACTTTGACTGAAGTCGGCTGCAACGGAGCCGACTTCGGCAAAGCCTGCCAAGGCGTTTGTCGGCGATGGAATTTGACAGCCGATATTGACTAGCATGGTGGATGAAGAGGTCTGTCTGTCAGAATAGTACCTTAGCTAGAGTAGCTTAGGAGCATCCTTAGGAGCCATAGCTTTAGGGTTTAGAGCAAGGCAAGGATGTGACGAGAGAGTTTGGCCAAAAGAGGGGTTGCACTATAGATTTGGTACAAGTTATAGGCAAGCATGAGGGTGCACCACCAAACAAGAACATAGAGCTACACTAAGTCTACACTATAGGCAGTTATAAAATAATGTATACAATTACATTTTGACACACCCCCTAACTGCCTGCAGTGGAGAACGATGTGCAGAAACACCCCCGGAAGTGGTGCACCAAGCGCAGTGGAAGACGGCAGAGAGGAATGCGAGGAGACGAGAGAGAGAGAGGGAGGGGAGAGGAGAGGAATGAGGAGAGGAGGTGGGGGGAGCCACGCGACGAGCCCCTCTTACGAACCCCCGTTTTACAAAAGGGGGGTGAGAGAGGGATGAGGAGAGGAGGTGGGGGAGCCACGCGGCAAGCCCCTCTTACGAACCCCCTTTTTACAAAAGGGGGGGGGTGAGAGTGTCAAACATTGTATGTTTATATTGTGTAGGCTGTAGTGGGTTACACCTTAGGGGGTACACAAAGTTAGGGTTTCCTACTTGTACCAAACTCTGAGCTAGTTCATTCATTCCTCGTTCAGTTATTCTGACATGGTTTCAGAGCAGGTCCTTCGCTAGGACCTAAGTTTTTTTTTTCGGGCCCACCTCTACTACCTACCTACCTACTGTCGGAGTGCTGCGTTAGCGCCTCCCCCTCCGCGCCTTCGTGCGCCCTCGTGTACGGCCCCTTAAGGCCCCGTCGACCCCGCACGCTGCCCCTTAGTGGCCCCGTCGCACCCGCGCGCGCCCCGATTCCGGCCCGTCGCCCCGTCGAACCTCACCTAGCGGTCCCGCGGCCCCGTCGACCCACCTGCGCGCACCTCGTTTAGCGGCCCCGCGGCCCAGTCGCCCCGTCGACCCTCACCTAGCGGCCCCGCTTACGGCCCCGTCGACCCCGCGCGCACCCCGTTTAGCGGCCCCGCGGCCCCGTCGCCCCGTCGACCCTCACCTAGCGGCCCCGCTTACGGCCCCGTCGACCCCGCGCGCACCCCGTTTAGCGGCCCCGCGGCCCCGTCGCCCCGTCGACCCTCACCTTGAGGCCCCGCGGCCCCGTCGACCCACCCTTGACCGCGGCCCCGCGCGCACCCCGTTTAGCGGCCCCGCGGCCCCGTCGCCCCGTCGCCCCTCACTTAGAGGCCCCGCGGCCCCGTGCGCACCTCGTGTCGCGACCCCGCGGCCCCGTCGACCCACCCCTGGTGGCCTCGCGGCCCCGTGCACGCCCCGCCTAGAGGCCCCGCGACCCCGTCGACCCGTGCGCACCCCGCCTAGAGGCCCCGCGACCCCGTCGACCCGTGCGCCCCCCCGCCTAGAGGTCCCCGTGGCCCCGTCGTCCCCGCGCGCGCCCCGCATAGAGGCCCCGCTGGCCCCATAGACCCCGCGCACCGCCTCTTCGCGGCCCCGTCGCTTCTACTGATACTGCTACTGCTGCTGCTGCAGCTGCTACCGCTACTACTGCTACTGCTACTGCTGCTACTATTATGGCTAGTCCGCCTGTACTCGCTTTCGATGCTGAGGGCCGTCCAGTGAAGTTCGAAACCTGGCTAGATGACCTGCATCTCTTCCTACAGCTCACTGCCAAGGAGGACATCTCACTGTACGATCATGCCCTCGGTCACGCTACTGCCCCTCCTACCACTGCAGACAGCACTCAGCGCTCACAGTGGCAGACTCGTGATGCCCACGCTCGCTTCGCCATTCGCAACTCCCTGCCACTAGATGAGCGCGAGCACTTTGGCCAGCACAAGACTGCTAAGGACCTGTACACTGCTGTAGTTGCTCGTTACTCCTCACCTGCCTCTGCCGCACTAGGCCGCCTCACCCTCCCCTACCTGTTCCCCGACCTGGCCTCCTTCAGCGCTGACCTCTTCACCCACCTCAGGACCAGTGAGGCCCGCTTTCGCGCTGCTATGCCTGACGAGTTCCTTGCCAGCAACCCCCCCCCGCTCTGGATCACGCTTTACCACATCGTCACCCGCCTCCCTGACTCTCTGCGCGCAGTCAGGGATCACTTCCTCGCTCGCTCTCCCACTGAGCTCACCATTGCCCTCCTCGAGAAGGAATTGCTTGCAGCTGAGGCGAGCATCGTCGCTGTAGGCACCTCTCGTGGCGACCCCCGCACCCCGTTCTTTGAGGGGTGTTCCCCTTCCCCTCTCCTCCCCTCTGTCGCCTCTGCTGCTGCTGTCGACCTCCTTGGTGCTGAGAAGGTCGGGGCTGCGTCTGCTCCGAGCGGGCGCGGCAGGGGCAAAGGGGGCAAGGGTGGAGGTGGCGGCGGGGGAGGCGGGAGTGGTGGCGGTGGGGGTGGCGGTGGGACTGGAGAGGCTAGTGGCGGCAGTGGGGGTGGTGACAGCAGCGGCGGGAGCGGTGGCAGGGGCGGAGGCGGCAGCGGAGGCGGAGGTGGTCGTGGCGGCGGCAGGGGTGGAGGTGGCCGGGGCGGTGGCGGCGGCGGTGGTGGTCGTGGAGGCGCTGGCGGTGGACAGAGTCAGCAGCCCGCCCCGTCGCTTCAGGCCGCCCGTGAGTGGTATGCGCAGCGTGGCTTTACCTGCACGTACGTCATTCGCACTGGTGACCGCACTGGCCAGCAGTGTGGGAGGCCGCATCCCACACAGCGTTGTTTCGCGCGCCTTACTGACGCGTGGCGGGCCCAGTTTCCTGATGCCACTGACCTGCCCCACTGGGCTGATCTGGAGAAGAAGGGAGTTGATATCTGGGCTTTAGACTTTGATGCTATTCTCACTGCCATGTATGCGATGTCTATTAGTGGAGAGGGTGCTCAGTACTTGCGTGTTCCGCCCGACCCGGGCATTCTGACCAGTCCGGCCGCCGCTCTAGGTGCTAGTGAGTCTGCTGCCCCAGGTCCTGGTGAGGCTGCTGCTCTAGGTGCTAGTGCGTCCGTGTCCCCTGGTACTGAGTCGACTGCAGCACTGCACACCTTCACCCTGGACTCAGGTGCTTCTCGCTGTTTCTTTCGTGACCGCACTGTCCTTGAGCCGCTTGCTCGGCCAGTTGCTGTCTCCCTCGCTGACCCCTCTGGGGGTCCGGTCGTTGCGACCTCCTCCACTGTCCTTCCTTGTCCTGCGGTCCCGTCAGGCACACTGTCAGGTCTCTACCTCCCCTCGTTCTCTACGAACTTGGTGGCAGGTAGTGCGCTCCAGGACGGGGGTGTTCACCAGTTCA